TAGAAAGCCTGAATAAGTGACGAGAACACCCACTACTCACAGCAAGAAAACAGAATTTCTTAATATGTTAATTCTATCTGATTAGATACATAAACATATTACAATAAAATTCTAATTAGAATATCACAGCAGGATTTTGAAACTTTAAAAAGTGTCCAAATGTCATATGACCAAATAAATATGAATGATTTGCTAATAAATTTTTTATAAAAGATTCAAAGGTGTACTTGTCCTACCAAATATGAAAAATATTACAAAAGCGGCTATTAATCAAAACCACATGGTACTATTCTGGAAATAGATGTAGGTGTATATGGCAATATATGATGAAGCTGAAACTACATATAATTTGGGAAAGAAATGAAATGGCATCATTGCCTGGGGTAAATACCTGAGGTTCATTGTCACACACTGAGGGAATCAAGGACACGGAACACTCAAGAAGTGAGTTTAAGAGTGGAGGTTTAATAGACAAAAGAAAGAAAAAGAATAGCCCTCCCCCCTTCAGAGAGAGAGTGGCACATGAGTAGGTTCCAGTTCTGTGGTGAAGTTGTGTGCAAGGGGGTTTATAGAGGAGCTTGAGGAGGCAGTGTCTGATTTACATAGGGCCCAGAGATTGGCTAGATGAGGTGTGCCATTTACATAGGGCACGAAAAAGCTGATGGCCCCACTCTAATCTTTTATTATGCAGATGAGATCTCTATCTGGCAGGCGCCATGTTGCCTGCTCCTTACTGCACACGTGGTTGACAAAGAAAAGAGAAGATGGAGCCACCAGGTTGAACATGCCTAGCCCCCAGGTAGCCTTTTCCTATTGGCACAGCTGCCAGCATTCACCCGTGCAAGCTTCCAGCTTGCTTATCTATGTCTGCAGCTTGATTTTGCAGGCTACTCTGTTAGAAAGGGAAAGATTTGGGGACTGGTTTTCACTAAAAGGAAAACCTTACCAAGGACTTCCTTACCCTCTCTATCTGCTAAATAATTGCTTTTTAACTCCTATACCAGAAAGGACCACGTATGGTTCAATAAATGGTTTTAGGACAACTAGTTATACAATTCAGAAGTCATCTAAGTGAATTCATAATCTCTCAACATATATAATACAAAATATTAAGGCTCAATGTAAGCAATGTCTTTTAAAATATTAATATGTACAGATAGGACAATATTTTACAACTGTTTGATGCAGGATGAGGGGAAGGCTAAGTAAAACTGGAAACCCAGAATTAGTAAAGAAAAATCTAACAGATCTGACAACATAAAAAGTTTAAACTTTTACAATTTTTGCCATTGGGAATGCAAAGATTTAAGAAGATAGCATCCAATGCTAGCAGGAGTATTAGACAACCTGGAAATCTCATAATCTAAATGAACATAACCTATGGGAAAGTAATTTGTCCATGAAATTATAAAATGTGCATTCCCTGTAACCTAGCATTTTTTCCTAGGACACTAACCCATGGATATAATAACATGAATTACAAAGCTATTATTATAGAATATTATAGCATGATTTTATCTTTGTGAAGTAAGGTATATGATATGCTTTGGCTCTGTGTCCCCTCCCAAATCTCATATTGAATTGTGATCCTCAGTGTTGGAGGTGGGGCCTGGTGGGAGGTCACTGGATTATGGGGTGGTTTCTAATTGTTTAGGACCATCCACCTGGTGCTGTCCTGTGATAGGGTTCTCATGAGATCTGGTTGTTTGAAACTGTGTAGCACCTCCCCTTTCTCTCTGTCTCTCTCTTTCTCTTTGCACCATGTAAAGACTTGCTTGCTTCCCCTTCACCTTCCACCATGACTGTAAAAGTTGGCTGAGGCCTCCACAGCCTCCTATACAGCCTGTGGAACTGTGAGTCAATTATACTTCTTTTCTTTGTAAATTGCCCAGTTTCATGTAGTTCTTTATAACAGCGTAAGAACAAATACAGAAAACTGGTACTGAGAGTGTACCTGTATATATGTGTGTATAATGTATGTGTCTTTCACTGGGTCTGTATAAAATTAGGAAAAGGTTGGAAAGGATAGGCACAAATAGATACTATGAAAACTGGAATTGAATGAGTGGGGAAAATTTGTCATGTTTTTATATATCTTCATTTCAAAAGTAGTCATTTTTACAATAATTAAGATGGTAATTTTAGCTACATCTACGAGGCTTTCATTTGTAAACTGAAAATGTATTTACATTTCCAGTTTGCAAATCAAAGACAAAAAATATATTTATGGTAGGAGGAAGTGAAGTCAAATGTTTTAGTTTACAAATGAATAAAGCTTTAGTTTATAGTATTTTTTATATCATAGTCACTAATAAATATTTCTTGAATAAATAAATGGCCATTCTCTATCTTTTATCTGTCTGTAAGACTCTTCTTTATATTAACTGGTTTTTATTTCTATTGAACTTGTTAGCACTATTTATCAAATTTCTCAAGACTGTTTTTTAATTATTTTCATTGTTCTAGGGATTTAGTTATTTCTCAATTCCCTCTTTCCCTCCTACCTCCCACCTCTTCTCCACCGCCACCCTGGAAAGCATGCATTTGTTGGCATATTCTGTCTGTGTGCTGATTTTTAACCATTGATTTAAATATCAAATTATAAGAGATGAATACTTTTCAAATGTGCAGTATAATTATATGAGACTATTTGAAGAGTAAATTATTGAACTTGATCATATCGTATGTCTTATTATTCTAGGTAAAAAATAATTCCCCAATTAACCAGAAGGGAAAAAGATTAACTGAGTTGTGAAAATACAGAATTATATTTCTATAATTTTTAAAAAATGTGTTAGCTCAGGCAAAGCTGCACATCAAGTATATTTTCTGTAGTGATAGTCAAAACTTTCTTTGCTCACAGTCTGTTTAAAGCCCCTACTTCTTAAATCCAGTCTAATCTGTTTGGTTTATGATGAGTCTACAATCAAACTGACCACAAAGACTGTTTATGCTTCTTTGCAGAAAATCTGAGTGCATTCATCTAAGTGACGTACAGGGAGAAATATTTCACAGGTGGAGTTTTGTTGTTGTTTATAACTTCTAATTATGCTCCCTGAATCATCTAAAGACTAGAAGAAAAACTAAAGTTTTTTAAGTGCCTATAGTGTGTGGGCTACTTGACATATACTATCTCATTTATTCTAAAAACTGCTATTAAACAGCTGCTATTATATCTGTTTTAAAGATGAGAAAACTGAGGCTTAGAAAGGGTAATACTGGCTCAGCATCCCTAATTCAAAAATTTGAAATTCAAAATTCTCCAAAATTTGAAATTTCTTGAGCACTGGCATGATGTCACAAGTGGAAAATTTCACACCTGGCCTCATGTGACAGGTCCCAGTCAAAACTCTGTTTCATGCACAAAATTATTTTAAAATATTGTCTAAAAGGAAATGTAAATAAATTGTGTGGCCAGATTTGAGTCCCATCCATGAGTATACGGAAATATTCCAAACTGAAAAAATCTGACGTCCAAAACGCTTGTGGTCACAGGCATTTTGGATAAGGGACACTCAACCTATAACTTAACCAAGATCTCACAGACATTAAATGTCAAATCCGAGCCCCAACTAGGTCTATCTAACTCCAAAGTTTGTGCTTCTTTACCAAAAGGCACCCCCTATGAAGTCTTAAATGTTGCTCAAATAAGAAAATTAATTGCATAAATTTTCAAATAAGTCCCACTTTCACCTTTTCATATTTCATAACAAATTTCACAACTATCATCTTAAATATAATAGGATTTACCCTTACTTAAAATATAAACCTTAATTATTTCTCTTTAGAGTAGACCTTGTTTCTGTCTGCGGAAATTCTCTGCCCACTGGAAAAAGAGACAGTAAGAAGTGACCCATGCTCTAATTTAATTATGTTCATTTGTCTTCAGGATTTTTCTTGGCAATTTAAAATGAGCTAATAGTGCAAACTAATTAAAAAACAAAATGAGATTACACTCAGATAGCTAAGCTAAAACACTATTACTGGTAAAGACAAATATTACTAATTAGGGTTTTAAGTAGAATAAACTTTAAATCAAAGAATGTATGGAGTTAAGCATGCTAAGCACAGGTTAACACAATAACAAACAACTATTTTGGCAGCAAATATATAAGTATGCAGGTAAGTTCTGTGAAGTCTTACATGCCACCCCATAATCATATATCATCCTTTTAAATACCTTTATTTCCAATTTTGAATACAAACATCAAATATCAAAGTTTTCAAGTTGAGCCAATATCAAATCACACTCAGCCTTTGCAGATAGCCATACAACAACTTTAGGTCTTTGCTAACAACCATCACCAAGAGTAAGCAAAAAATAAAGAATTCAAGTGTCCGAAACCATTTTCTTCATGTAGAAACACCTTGAGTTTCCTCTGGCAAACTCTTAAAGTTCTCTCTTAAAGCTCCTTGCCCAATTTCAGGGCATGTAATAACCTTGAAACCCTTGGAGAACATGTTCAGCACCTGGAATAAAAGGGCAAAAAGATTGTGTTATGAACAATATAAAATAAGTCAGATAATAAACAGGATGATTATTAATAGTACTTTTTTTTTGAGACAAGATCTCTCTCTCTGTCACCGAGGCTGAAGTGCAGTGGTGTGATCTCAACTCACTGCAGCCTCCGCCTCTCAAGTTCAAGTGATTCTCCTACCTCAGACTCCTGAGCAGCTAGAACTATAGGTCTGGCTAATTTTTTTTTTATTTTTTGGTAGAGATGGGGTTTTACCATGTTGGCCAGGCTAGTCTCCAAATACTAACCTCAAGAGATCCACCCACTGCAGCAAAGTGCTGGGATTATAGGCATGAGCCACCATGCCAGACCATGAATAGTATTAATACTATTCATTGTGTGCATAAACCTCTGATGGAGCCCCTGTTGTATAAAGTGCAATCACTGAGAAACTGAGGGAGCAAAAGATTGCCACCAAAGAGAAAGTCTAATTTGAGACTAATTATTCAGCAATAGGAAAGCCCAATTGGCCATCTTGTCCACGCTCTATCATTGACAGCTAGGTTTAAGAAAGTGTTTAGGACCAATTGGGCATGGTGAGGAATATTGTAAAATATATATTGTAAAATTATGGAGCCATGAAAAACTAATAAGTGCATGAAAACTTCTTCATGCACTGATATGAAAATATCTCAAAAGCATACTATTTAAAGAAACAATTAAGATACAAAACAATATGGAAAATATATAATCATCTCAGTTTTTAAAAACTAGGATGGGGAAAATTATGAATGCATTTGGATTGTATTTACACAAAATATCTCTGAAAGGATAGCCTTGAATACCTACAGGGAGGAGAACTGGGTAGCTAGGGGAAGGGGTGGGAGAGAGGTTTTTCACTGTATAATTGTTTGTTTATTTTAAGTTTTACAAATATTCCTCAATTAGCTATCAGTAAGAAACAGAGACTGAGAGCAACATCGGTGCCATTTCTGACATTAATAAGGACTCTAAAGTTTTTAGTTACCCTCAATAAAAAACAAAAAACAAATAAGCATCTACTTTGATCCAAAAATTCTCCAGCTAGAAATTTTCCTTATAGATACAGACATAAGGCAAAATACAAATTCTATGATATTAATGGGAAAAACTTGAGAAAGCCTAAAAGTTCATGAATAATCAGTTGCTATGTAAATTGCAGTATGTCACCAATCTACCGAGTGTAATTGACAAGGGGGAGAGAGTACCTGTCAACTGAAAAGATCCTCTGGCAACAGGCCAGCTGCATTCTTGAATATAATATTTCTACTTTACAAGTGAGGATTCTTAGAACTTCTCTACTTTGTGAGTTATTGAGTCCAAGTTGTCCCACCCCAAAACAGGGTATCAAGCCAGAGAATCACAAGGCCTCCATAGCTCATGTTTCGAAAAGAGCCCAGCAACAATCCAATAGCTGCTTTTCAAACAGTGTGCCTGGTAACCATGTCATGGAAGTAACCTGCCCCCTCTTTGCCAGATGTCCCAATTGGCAATATTGTCAATCACAGAGACTTGTAATCAATGGGATAATCAGAGTTTTGGAGTCCCAGAGGTACTAATACTCTTCTCCAATTAAGAAAATTCCCTCTGACATTTCTGGTGTAGGTAAATACAAGCATAAGATATATGTGTATATATATACACATATATATATGTATACATACATACATATAGGAAATGATATATACACACACACATTATATATACACATATATGTCTATATATACATACATGTATATATGTATATATCTACACACATATATATACATATATACACACGTATATGTATATAGTATATATATACATATATACACACATATATATGTGTGTAGATATATATGTGTGTGTATATATATATATATACTATATACATATATACCTTTTTTTTTTTTCACAGACGGCTGTTTTCACGTTGTGAAGGAGCCATTCAGCAAAGTAGCTGCTGTTCTTATTTTGAATGTTGAACATTTGCTCATCCACCTCCCTCATGGACATGCAACCTCTAAAAATGGCAGCCACGGTTAGGTAGCAGCCATGACGGGGGGTCACAGGCAGCCATCATATTCTTAGCATCAAAGAGTTGCTGAGAGTGTGTATATATGTATATATATACACACATATATATGTTATATGTATATATATACACACATATATATGTATATATATGTGTATATATATATGTGTGTATATATATGCACATATATACATGTATGTATATATACATATATATGTATATATGTGTGTGTGTGTGTGTATGTATATATATATATATATGTATCATTTCCTACCATACATTTATATGTAGAAGCAACAAAAACCATATATTGAATTGGCCCAAAGGAACCACCAAAAGATTATGCTACTTTTCCTGCCTATTATGAACCTTGCCCAAACCCCATCAACTGAATTTGGTGGCCCCTCCTCCCACAGGATGGGCAGGAGATTGACTTGGGCTCTAATATCCATCAGAATCATAAAAGTTCAAGGCCCTTATTGCTCCAGTCCCTCAGCATTCTTGGGACTGAATGGCCTTTGGTCCCCCTTGTGGACTGGGAGACCACAGCCCCAGCCCCTAGCCACCTTCCTCTTTAACCCAGCTGAGCTCAGGGTAGAAGGTGAGAAAGGGATTAGAGGACTCAGAGGGACAGTGTGGCTTTCTGCCAATAAACAAGGTACATTCACTTTCAGTGTCAAGTGGTATAGCACCTGCTTGCACTTGTCCCAATGAACTTCAATCCTTTTGTTTCACCCAAAGAAAACAACAGCAGGGTTATCATTATTGACACTACCTATTTCAGCTTTAGGGATTCCTCATCCATCTCATAAAAATTCCCCTTGGTGGGGAGAGGATCCAAGATGGCCGAATAGGAACAGCTTTGGAGTAGTTCTCAGTGAGAACACAAAGGGTGAATGATCACCACATCTCCAAATGAGTTTTCACTGCCCCCAGACCAGGAGTTGCCCAGGTGGAAAAGCGCCATGAGTTTCCAGCACAGCTGTTTCAGCCAGCACAGCGGGTCTCCACACAAAAACTCACACAAATCTGGGCAGCCATTTCAACTGGCACCTGGAACACCTGGGAGACAGAGCTGCCCATTTAACTGATAAAAAAGGGGCTGAAACAGAGAGCCAGGTGTCTGGCTCGGCCGGTCCCATCCCCACAAAGACCAGCAATCTGAAACACTCTGGATTGAGAGTTTCACAGCAAGCACAGCTGGACCCGGGATGGTCCAGCTCTGTGGGGTGAAGGGCGTCTGCCATTACTGAGGCAGTCTGCCATTACCGAGGCAATTCACCATTACCCAGGCAGTCTGCCATTACAGAGGCAGACCACCATTATCGAGGCTGTTCTAACTATACTTCTATAAACAAAACTGCAAGGAAGTTCATACAGCAGCTAGGCAGAGCCCATGGCAGCTCAGCAACAACTATGCTGGCAGACTGTGACTAGGCTACCTCCTCGCTGGACAAGGTATCTCTGAAAAAACACAGCAGCATGTCAGGAACTTATAAATAAAGCGCCACATTCCCAGGACAGAGCACCTGGGAAAAAAGGCAGTTATGAGTTCTGCTGCAGCAGACTTAAACGTACCTGCCCAGCAGCTCTGAACAGAACAACAGAGCTCACAGCTCAGAACTTGAGCTCCTATAAGGGACAGACTGTCTCCTCAAGCAGCTCCCCAACTCTCTGTATATCCAAAGAGACACCTCATAAAGGAGAGCTCAGGCTGACACCTGGCAGGTATCCTTCTGGGACAGAGATAACAGAAGAAACTGGCAGCAACCCTTACTGTTCTGCAGCTGCTGCAGCTGATCGCCAGACAAGCAGGGTCTGGAGAGGACCTCCAGCAGTCCTATAGCACGAGGGCCTGACTGTTAGAAGGAAAACTGAGAAACAGAAAGAAATAACTTCATCATCAACAAAAAGGAAGTCCACTCAGAGACCTCCCCGAAAGTCACCAACTACAAAGACCAAAGGTAGATAAATCCACAAAGATGGGAAGAAACCAGCACAAAAAGGATAAAAACACCAAATACCAGAACACCTCTCCTCCTCCAAGGGATCACAACTCCTCACCAGCTATGGAACAAAGCTGGATGGAGAATGAGTCTGATGAAATGACAGAAACAGGCTTCAGAAAGTGGGTAATAAACTTCTCTGAGCTAAAAGAACATGTTCTAACCCAATGCAAAGAAACTAAGAACGTTGAAAAAAGGTTAGACGAAATGCTAACGAGAATAAACAGCTTAGAGAGGAATATAAATGAATAGATGGAGCTGAAAAACAACACGAGAACTTCACGAAGCATACACAAGTTTCAATAGCCGAATTGACCAAGTGGAAGAAAGGATATCAGAGATTGAAGATCAACTCAATGAAATAAAACAAGAAGGCAAGAATAGAGAAAAAAGAATGGAAAGAAATGAACAAAGCCTCCCAGAAGTATGGGATTATGTGAAAAGACCTAATCTATCTTTGATAGGTGTACGTGAATGTGACAGACAGAATGACTCCAAGCTGGAAAACACTCTTCAGGATATTATCCAGAAAAACTTCCGCAACCTAGCAAGGCAGGTCAACATTCAAGTCCAGGAAATACAGAGAACACCACAAAGATATTCCTCAAGAAGAGCAACCCCAAGGCACATAATCGTCAGATTCACCAGGGTTGAAAAAAATTTTAAAGGCAGCCAGAGAGAAAGGTCGGGCTACCCACAAAGGGAAGCCCATCACACTCACAGGAGATCTCTCTGCAGAAACTCTACTAGCCAGAAGAGAGTGGGGGCCAATATCCAATATTCTTAAAGAAAAGGACTTTCAACCTAGAATTTCATATCAAGCCAAACTAAGTGTCATAAGTAAAGGAGAAATAAAATCCTTTATGAACAAGCAATTAGTCAGAGATTTCATCACCACCAAGGCCTGCTTTACAAGAGCTCCTGAAAGAAGCACTAAACATAGAAAGGAACAACCAGTACCAGCCACTCCAAAAATGTACCAAATGGTAAAGAGCATTGACACAATGAATAAAATGCGTCAACTAATGGGCAAAACAACCAGCTAGCATCAAAATGGCGGGATCAAATTCACACATAACAATATTAACCTTAAATGTAAATGGTCTAAAGGCCCCAATCAGAAGACACAGACAGGGAAATTGGACAAAATGTCAAAACCCATCACTGTGCTGGATCCCCAAAACCCATCTCACATGCAAGGACACACATAGGCTAAAAATAAAGGGATGGAGAAGATTTACCAAGCAAATGGAGAGCAAAAAAAAGCAGGAGTTGCAATCCTAGTCTCTGATGAAATAGATTTTAAACCAACAAAGATCAAAAGAGACAAAGAAGGACATTGCATAATGGTAAAAGGATGAATGCAAAAAGAAGAGCTAACTTTCCTAAATATATCCGCACCCAATACAGGAGCACCCAGATACATAAAGCAAGTTCTTAATGACCTACAAAGAGACTTAGACTCCCACACAATAATAGTGGGAGACTTTAACACCCCATTGTCAATATTAGATAGATCAACCAGACAGAAAATTAACAAGGATATGCAGGACTTGAACTTGGATCTGGACCAAGCAAACCTAATAGACATTTACAGAACTCTCCACCCCAAATCCACAGAATATACATTCTTCTCAGGACCACATAACACTTACTCTAAAATTGACCACATAATTGGAAGTAAATCACTCCTCTGCAAATGCAGAAGAATGGAAATCATAACAAACAGTCTCTCAGACCAAGTAAAATCAAATTAGAACTCAGGATTAAGAAACTAACTCAGAACCACACAACTTCATGGAAACTGAACAACTGGCTCTTGAAAGTTGACTGGATAAACAACAAAATGAAGGCAGAAATAAAGATGTTCTTCGAAACCAACAAGAATGAAGACATAACTTACCAGAATCTCTGGGACACATTTAAAGCAGTGTCTAGAGGGAAATTTATAGCAATAAATGCCCACATGAGAAGCAAGGAAAGATCTAAAATCAACACTCTATCATCAATAGTGAAAGAGCTAGAGGGGCAAGATCAAAAAAATTCAAAAGCTAGCAGAAGACAAGAAATAACTAAGATCAGAGCAGAACTGAAGGAGATAGAGACACCAAAAACCCTTCAAAAAATCAGTAATTCCAGGAGCTGTTTTTTCAAAAAGATCAACAAAATAGACAGACCACTAGCCAGATTAATAAAAAAGAGAGAAGAATCAAATAGGTGCAACAAAAAACGATAAAGGGGATATCACCACAGATTCCACAGAAATACAAACTACCATCAGAGAGTACTACAAACAACTCTATGCACATAAACCAGTAAACCGGGAAGAAATGGATAAATTCCTGGACACTTGCACCTTCCCAAGCCTAAACCAGGAAGAAGTCAAAATCCTGAATAGACCAACAGAAAGGGCTGAAGTTGAGGCAGCAATAACTTACCAACCGAAAAAAGCCCAGGTCCAGATGGGTTCACAGCCGAATTCTACCAGACATACAAAGAGGAGCTGGTACCACTCCTTCTGAAACTATTCCAAACAATCCAAAAAGAGGGAATCTTTCCCAAATCACTTTATGAGACCAACATCATCCTGATACCAAAACCTGGCAGAGACTCAACAATAAAAGAAAACTTCAGGTCGATGTCCATGATGA